TTGTTAAAAATTATGAAAAAAGAAAACGGCAAAAGAAAAGTATAGTTTTGCGAGTTTTTTAACTAAGGAATATTGTTTTAAGAGTTCTTTATAGCTTTCTGTTTCTAAAATAACTTGAGTTTTTCTTTTATTTACTGTTTCTAACGACTCTTCTAGTTTGAATACCAAATACAAAGAGGAGTTTGCTTAAGAGAAGAAAGAGCTTGACCTTTTTGCAAACTGTTCAAAATGCCTGCTCCTCAATATATTACATTTAAGACTTCGTTGATAATAGTTCATATTAAGAAAACTTCAAGTTATTTGTTTACTTCTGGTCTTGAGTTTTCAACTTGCTTTCAGAGACTAGTTGATACAAGTGATCATTAGAGAGAGTTGTGAAAGTTAAAAATATCTATAAAAATATTATTAGAATAGTAATTAAACATAGCTTTTAGATTTTTTATATTCTGATATAACAGATTATATATATATATATATATTTTTTTTGTATGTATTGGCAGCCTTGTCGGTATCTTTATTAGATCAAAGCATATATACAAGATACATCTAAACTATTTAAGTTACAAATCTGATATCACTTGGCTGCCTCTAAGAGTACCCAAGTGCGGTTTGCCTCACCAGTTACGGCTATTGTTCATACCAGAGGGCTATACCAAGCTAGCCTAGGAAGCCATCACAAGATGATTTCACAATGAAAGAATTTTTAACTAAAATAAGTTGGCAATTTTTTCTTTCTAAACTGGTTTTCTTTTTACAACAAAGTTCTAAATCTAATTTTCTGATAAACAAAATAATTTTCTTTTTCAATACAGAGTTATTGCCAAGATTCTTTCATTTACGTTTATATTTTCTTTTCCTTTTCTTTTAGTTTAATCTGTTCTTTCCAATTAAAGACCTGGCCCTTGGGAGTCTTCTTATATCCTTCTTAGTATTCTTCTTTTCTTGATTTGTGGCTTCATATTTTCTTTCTTCTTCCTAAGTGCTCATTTTAGTAGTTTCTTCAAAGAATATTCTTCTGCGTATTCTCTTTTCTCCAGGGTACTTTGAGTCTTCTTTCAGTTTCTTCATTTTTAGATCTTGACTAGTTTGCTTGGCTTCTTTTTTCTTTGTGTTCTGGATATAAGAGTCTTCTATTTCTCTTCTTTTGATCTTCTTATTCTTCTTTCTTTTTCTAAAACTCAGTCTTCTTCCCAAGTATCTTTCTTGAATTTTGTTGAAGATCTTTTAATTTTTAAAGTGTTCTACAAAGATCTTTTCTAATATATTTAGTAATGTATTCTTTTTTTCTTTTTCTAGTTTTTAGCACCCTTCAGCCTAGATACTACTATACTTTGTGACAAATTCTTATTCAAGCTCTATTGGGATCTTAGCCCATGTATCTATTTAGCCAAAAGATCTTTTTTTGTCTTTTTCTACCTTTTCTTATTGTATTATAAATCTTTAATGCAAATTTGATATATTACTTCTGTCAACCATTCTTCTGGAGTTAGTAAGATGATTTCTGGTCTTGATTCTTCTTGAATCTTGTTTAATATCCTTGTTTCTGTAAGTCCTGAGATATTTTGTCCTATTTCTGGTTTTAATTCTGCTTGAATCTTGTTTAATGTCTTTGCTTCTGTAGAACCTGGAATCTCTTGTCCTATACTTCTTATTTTTTTTTTCTTGGCTCTATTTTTCCTTTTTTCCAGACTTGCTATAGTAAAATTGACAGATATTTTAAAATATATTACTAAAGTTCTTAATGCTATTTTGTTGTTCTGCTTTTGTCAAATTTTTCTTTGCTCTTGGAGTCTCTTGCTTCAACCTAAGTCCAACTTCAATTTTAATTTGACAGCTTGTTTTTCATTTTGATAGGCTTCTATCTCTAGCTTTAATTTTAATTTTGCTATTTGTTTTTCTTTTCATCAAACTCACACTTTTTCTTTTTCTTTTTTAACTTTCCTCCTCATTAAGTATTGGTTTGCTACAATAGATTTGGTGGCTTCTTTGAATTTAAGTGTTAAATTTTTTAAGGTTATTCTATTTTGTTATTGCTGTCTACTCTTTCTTTGTTCCTGAAGTCTCTTGCTTCAACCTGTTTCTAATTTCAACTTTATTTTGATAGCTTGTTTTGCTCTAGTGTCTATTATCTCATTCAACTACTCTGTTGTATCAACTACACACAAAAGCTCATTTATTTCTTCAATTATGATGTAAGTAAATACATCTATATCTTCTAGACTTGCTTTTTGATAGAGTTGAAAGTTTCTTTTACTAAGTGCAAGGTCCGAGTACTGAATTTTATCTTTTCTATACTGACGTAATTCTTCATATAGAGCTTCTATTCTTGGCTTCGCTTCTTCTACTATAATAAACTTTATTGTATTTGTTGCTGAGGCTTCTATCGTCTGTTCTATCATAACTGCTTTTTGTTTCTCAAATACTTATACTAGTTCTTGCTGAAAAATGCTTGTTTTTTTTCATAGTTTCTTGGTTGTAGATTGGCTACCTTTTGTTTTTTAAGCTCTCTTCCATTGATTTTTACCAAATATTTTATATGATTTGTTGTTTCTTTGTTGTTGCTAGTTTGCTTTACGTAATTTGTTGTTTTTCGATTGTTGTTGATTGTTGTTGTTGTTTGTTTGGTACTATTGTTTGTTTTCGTCACGTGGTTTTTACCATGTTTCTTTTGTTTATTCTTCATTACATATTGTGTTTTTTGTATCACCAAAACAGATTTATGATTCAGAATCAAGACCAATTTCCAAAATTTTCCAAAGTACAAAAAAATATTGACGATTTTTCATGACTTCTTCTATTTTTTGCTGCTTCGACTCTTCTTTACTTGAGTCTCCTAAGAGACTGGGTGTTTTTTATAGTTCTTTTCTTTTTTTTTAGAGCTTTAAGTTAGATTTCTTAGTGGTCTTTGTGTGTTTTTTGTATTTTTAATTAATTTTTTGTTTTTCGAATTTGTGTTTTGATAATTAGCAGAAAGAGTAAACAGATTATATATAAAATTACTCGAAATAACTATAAAATATTATATTTAAGTTTTCAATTTAATATTTATTATAATATTTGGTAATTCATTACTTAACCAGAGAGAGCTTATAGTATAATGTGATATAGTTTATATATAGAAATTTAGAGTTTTTAAAATATGAGCTGTTTTTATCTAAAACTTTTTTAATACCAAGTTAATCATTTTTGGATCTCTAATTAAAATTGTAGAGCTTATCAAAACAAATCTAATAGTAGTTAAATCATTAAAATCTGTTTGGTAGATTACAAGATATCTTTAAAAACATTTTACTAACTATATAAACTTCTTTTTTAACAATATTATTGTTGAAAAAAAAGTTTATATAGTTAGCAAAATATTTTTTAAAGATATTTTATGATTTATCAAACCAATTTTGATGATTTAACTACTATTGATTCATCTCAATAAGCTCTACAACTTCAATTAAAGACCCAAAAATAATTAACTTAGTATAAAAAAAGTTTTAGATATAAACAGCTCATATTCTAAAAACTCTAATTTCTATATATAAACAATATTATTTTATACTATAAGCTCTCTTAGATTAAGTATCAAATCATCAATTAATAATAAAATATTAAATAGTAATTAGTAATACAACTATTTAAATAAAAAATATATAGTGCTAGTAGCCTATACTCAACAGTTACATGAAGTGTTTTAATTTTTTAAATAGCTATAACTTTTTATCTAAAAGGTTTAAAAAAAATCTAACTGGTAATTTTATAGAGCTATATCAGCTTTATATTTTTGCCAAATTTTATTTCAAAATCTCATCACTATAAAGAGTTGATGTATTTTGAAAATTAAAATTTTATATGATGCAAGACATCTATACTCGACAATCACGTGATTACAATAATTAGCATTTTCAAACCCCTAAAACTTTTTACACAGACATTATTTTTAAAATCTGATCAGTAACTTTGTTCGTCATGATGAGCTTTACAAAGTTACCAGTCAGATTTTTAAAATAATTTCTGTATAAAAAGTTTTAGGGTTTTAAAGTTTATAAGTTTAAGCGAAATTGAAACAATCACGTGATCACGTGCAAAGCATATTATTGGCTAAAATCAATAAATTGCAAAATCAAAATTGCAGGGTTTTTAAAAATATTTATGATAGTTTGCAAAAAGATGTGACCTTGCGATTTCGTGATGATGATAGCAGAGAATCAAGATTCTCTAAGAATCGAAAAATCTACTAGAATTGCCTGATTTCTCAAAATTTTCATGCATCATGATTTGCAAAAGTTACATCTTTTGCAAATTGCTGTAATAAATTGAGCTAAATTCTTAAAGTTTTACACATTATAATTTCGATAATAGTACATAATATACACGTATAGTTCAAATACCATACCAATTTTTGTAATTGCCAAATAAACAATTGCATACGACAAATCCAAAATAAAATTGCATATCTTTGAGCATAAATTTGAAATTAATTTTATTAATATGCAATTTGGTAACAAATTTCAAATAAAATTCCATATTGTACTAAGTGTGATTTTATAGTTAATTGCACTATTTTTTTTTTTTTTTTTTAAATCTCCACTAGTAGGACGCCATATGGCGTAATTCCAATTGTACTTAAATGCTATTCATTAAATACAGTAATAAATTCCAATAAACTATTAGAAAGAAATCTGATAAGCATTACACGAATAATTGCATAAATAGATTATTAAGTCAAATCATTCATACAAAACTTCAGTGTATCTCCTAAATATCCCCTATATATTAAAAGTATATAAATTAGTATGGCCATTTTTGACAAGACAAAAGCAAATAAAAATCATACGCAGATAAAAGAATTGATTTAATGCTTAGCCTTAATAAGGTTTTATTAGGCCACATAAAATTAATTGCCTCTCATAAGAATTTTAAAATGACCTGCTTTTTATAAAACAATAAAAAGCTAACCCAACCAGGCTATGAGAAATAATCAATTAACTTAATATGGACTTATTTTATACATGTTACGTGGTAAGTTACACAAATAATGTTATGCAAACACACTAAGGCGCGTCTACCTAAAACTATATATATAAGTTATGTGCTACAATGTAAACGTTAGTTTACAATACCACGACTTACAAAAAGACAAAAACAAGTGAATAATTTGCCAAGAAAATGAGGTCGTTTTGAGTCCCAAAATAAAGTACAAGAAATTACCAACATCCAAGAAGAACCTGCATTGACAGTGCTAGAAGTTGATGAAGCTGTAAGCATAAAAAAAAGGATATATACCAAGACCTCAAGAACAACAATTTGGCGACAAAACAAAAAAGAATACCAGAAAGAAAAAGTCAAATCAAATAATATACCATTGTTGCTTAATGTTAAAGCATCAAGTAATGTATCATTACTCAATATTAAAACATCGAGTAATATACCATTACTCAATGTTGAAACATCGTGTAATAGTAGATTACTCAATGTTGAAACATCAAGTAATCTACTATTACTCGATGTTGAAACATCGAGTAATCTACCATTACTCGATGTTGAAACATCATGTAATATACCATTATTACTTGATGATGAAACATCAGCAAATAATACATCACCAGTGCAGCAGCCCCAAGCAACTACTGTGAATAACCTTACATCATCCATAAGTAATGCGAGATTGTATAAATGATTAGAAAAAGTTAATAGGCAATGCCAGATAACAAAATCTTCAAAAGATGAGATACCTACCTTTGATCATTTATGTTTGATAAGTATAAGTAGATTCATACAATTATTGTTGGATGAAAAAGATAAAATGGATGCTAGCCATCAGATTGCACGATTGGTGTGGAGTAAAGGTGATTATATGGCAAGATGTATTCGGAAGTAGAGAGAACATTATATAGAAACAGGTGAACTTTTCGCATATCAACAAGGAAAGCATGTAAAAAACAAAGACTTGTTTGACAATGAAGAATTTACCAAAGGTTGTCAGGAATGGTTACGATAGCAAAAACCAGAGTCACGATCCCCTGGTACATTAAAAACATATATTGAAGGTTCATTATTTCCAGAAATGTCGGGTATTGGGAAGAGCACGATTAGTGAAAGGACATGTCAAAGATATATGTATTTATTAAAATACAATTATAAAGAAAGAAAAAAAGGAGTTTACTATGATGGTATTTTTTTTTTCTTTTTTTGTCTTTCTTTTTTTTTATCTTTTTTTTTTTTTATCTTTTTTTTTTTCATTACGTTGATTTGGCGTAAATATTTTATTCAGGTCACAAGCGGCTAGATGTAGTAGAATATAGAAAAAGGTGGTTAAAAAGAATGTTCGAATATAAAAAAAAATGAAGGAATTCGATGGTGATATGCTAGATATAGTATTAGAACCTCAGCTTAAGCAAGGTGAAAAGAACACGTACAAGTGACACATGATGAAAGTCACTTCTATGCAAATCACGGATGCCGAAGGATCTGGACTGAGGAGGATGAAAGTATTCTTCGTTCGAAACATATGGGATGCTCTATTATGGTTTCTGCCTTCCTTTGTCCATGCCATGGGTTGATGCAACTATCTGATGAACAGTTACAAATTAATCCAAAAATAAAACAAAAAGAGGCTTACATTATTCGTTCTGTGCAAAAAGATGGTTACTGGAAAGCAGAACATATGTTAGAACAGGTTGGGCTTTTTTTTTTTTATCTTTTAACTCATAATATTGTAATATAAAATAAGCTTTTTCAAGTAATTATGATATTTGAAGTGTTGCATCCCAGATGTATTGGTGTATTTTGTCTCGACCAGTTGACAAATCACAATGCCATGGCAGAGGATGCATTGGTCACGACATGAATGAACCTTGGCCCTGGAGGATCACAACCGAAGATGCATAATGGTTGGTATGTTAATAAAAATGGAAAGAAAAAGACACAATCAATGATATTTCCAAATAACTACCAAATACGAGAATTAAGAAAAGAACCAAAGGCCAAACAATAGCAACTACTCTAATCAATACATAGGCCAATAGCAGAATCTGGGTATCTAATTTTTGGAAGTTTAAAGAAAAAAGAAAATATCAAAATTAGTAAAAAGCAACTAAAAGAAAAAACCAACCAACAAAAGAAAAAAAAAACTAACAAAAGAAAACTAATATCTTACCTGAAAACATTAATC